ATTGCTCTGTGTCTTGGAATGCCCATCGCTTTGTGTGAACGGCTCACCTTTTCCACTGGTGCTTGCTTCTGCCGGCAGCCCCAGAGTGCACCTGGTTGGACAGGGACAGGGATGGAAGGCGGGGAGTGGGGCCCTGTGGGGTATGTGGCACTAGAGAAAAGCTGACTCAGGACTGGTTAATGACGGCAGACCCTACGGCTCCGAAGACTCTAGAGAACACCTCCTAAAATGTCATTATTTTCAGAGAAATCAGAGGCAAGAAAAGGGGGCTTCTCAAGATCCCTCTGTGAACAACTCCAATGATCCCACCATTTCACATCACAACTGCCTCACCAGCGGACACACAAGGGTTAACTGCCCCTCACAAAGCCGCAAACTGATGTAACTGATTGCTACCAGCTGAAAGGAGCACCAGCCTGGCTAGAAACCACAGATAGACAAAATGCAAAGTTTCCCACAGCTCTTTCTGCTCTGTACATGGCCTTGGGCTATTTTCCTACTACCAGCTCTCATTCCCCCAACCCTGAGCAAGGTGAAGATTTCGAACTTCGCTCCTCACAGGGGCCCAGTCATGGCCAGGGTAAATCAATATCTGATAAGCAACCCAATCATTCCAGTTGAAACACTGATCAATGGCTGAATGAATAAATGGAAATTCACAGGTCAGTAAAGAGCTGATCCATGCACAAATCCAGGAGTGAAAGCTGCCGAGCTTCATGCAGGGGCCCCTATGGGGGGAGGGGGGCAGGGAAGGAAAGTAGCAAAGTCACCCTGAGAAGGGTCTTAGGAGCCCAAAGCATGAGGGATGGGCTCTGAAGATCAGAAGGCAGCTCTAGCATGAGCAGCACAGCTGGGACTCTGAGAACCCACAGGGGCAGGCTCCGGGGAGAGCTGGGGTGAAGGGGGTTCCACAGAAGTGCTCTGCGAGTTCCTTCTGCTCGCTTCACTCCTTGACAGTCATCCAAATGCTGGAAAGCCCAGCTTGCCACTGGGACACTGGGCAGTAATTTCATATTAGGAAACAGTAGATAGGAAGCCAGGGAAACTGAGGAACGTAAAGGGACAGCCCCCACCACGTATTTGCTTGTTTCTGGCTCTGTGACTCCCACAACCAGGTGTGGAAACAGAGGTTTTGTAGTTTGAAAGGCCTACAACTAAATAAGGGCTCCGTGCTTGTCACTGTGCTATACACAGTTCCCACCCAACAAGTACAGCTGACTGAGGACGCTCTTAATCCCTTCAAAAATACATCTAAAACTGTGTCAGACGATCATACACATGTAAACATGCAGCCTCTTGAACCCTCTGTTCAAGGTGAGCTGCAGGGGCCACCCTGCCTTCTTCCCCATGTGATCAGGACACCTTCACAAGGCAAAGGGGATCCACAGGCTCTTCCCTCCGGGCCTCTTCTAGTAAGGTAAATTATTCCTTCAAGCTGTATCTCCCATGGCCAGGGACCTGGAGGGGAAGCAGGAGTGTCTGAAGTGTGACTAGAAATCAGACATCAGGGCCAAAATGACTCTCAAAGACCATCCAATACAACCTCCTTTAAAGGCTAGGAAACGGGTTCAGCCAAGGAAAGCAATTCCTATGATCACCTGGAGGCAGCAGCTTGGAGCAAAATGTTGAGAAGGATTCTAAGACCAAGCAGGAAAGATGGGTGTGACTGAGGACTGGCTGGTGATGACTGCTATGGATGGCAGGGGGAGGGATGGCATCCCCGCCTCCGCTCAGCCAGGCCTTGGCCTCCACCCCTTCATAGGGAGCTGGTGCAAATTAGAAAAAGATGCCCCTTCCAGGCAGCATATAGCTTGACAAGCAGCAGGTGGGCGGATATCCATCCCTCCCCACCAGGGGCTAGAGTACAGGGCCAGCTCACATATGCAAGGCACACCTGAGCGTGGTGTCCTTGAGGTAGGAGGCCCTTGAGTTATTCAACTTTTCTTCAGGCCCCCTCTATTGATTTGTCATCTGTTAACATAGAAATATTTCTTGATACCAAAGGAGGTCATAAGCATTCATTCTCTCTTTCATGCAGAGAAATCAGTTCTTAAGAGGGAAGGCATGCTAAAAGGTCGGCAGGTGATAAAGTGACGCATTTATCCGTGCCCAAAATTTTGCACAAGGGGCCGTGCTGCCCCCACCACACCTAGAGCCCCGTCTCTCTTTGCCTTCACAAACAGTTTGTGTTCCCAAAGAGAAAAATATTCAACCACATAGACTCCAGGTTTTCTGTATCATCCCTGGGCGTGGAAACCTTCACGAGGCCGGGGAAAGACCACACTTGCATCTAGTTGTATGCACTTCACAGGTGTTCATGCAGGTAACCAACCTCCCCAGACCTGTTTCTCATCCTGGAATCCCAATCACAGTAATGGGCAACCAGCTCCCTAAGCCAGAAAGCGCCCTGGAAGACCCCTGGATCCCCCTGCACCCCCACTCTAGAGGCTACCACCCATCTAAAGTCCCTCTCCCACACATCTCCCACCCTCCTCCCTCACTATTACCGTCTTGGCTCAAACCACTTCCCCAACTGGCCTGTCTCCTCCCGCCTTACGTGTCCCACCATGCTGTTTTCTGAAGGGCCTTTCAAAACCATCCAAGGCTCCTTGCAGCCTTCAGAACAGGGCCAGCCTCCATCAAGTCGGCCTCAACTTGACCCTTTCCATCAACCTGTACCACACTCTTCAGCCAGGCCCAGCACACAGCGCTCCCTCATGTAGTGGCCGTGTCACACCTCCAGCGTGTGCTCACTGCCTCCCTCGGCCAGAATGTCCTGTGCTGCAGCAGTGGCTCAATCCAACAGGTTATCCAGGCCCTGGTCCTCCAACCTGGCCAGACATGCCAGCCAGGGGAGTCTGTAGAATGCAGGCTAAGGCTGCGATGTGGGAACAACATGGTATGGAAACCTGATAGGGTGTCCTTCACACTAGGCCTTCTACCTGACTAGACTCTTCTCTGACTCCTGACTCCAATTCCCCTCTATAGCAATTACCTGTTATGCATCTGTCTGCCACCCAAGACTGTCCTCTTGGTAGGAGAGAGAGCATCACCTTCCTCTGGGTGTCCCCATATGCAGCTGGGTCAGGCCTAGGATATGGGTGAAGGGGAAAACCCAGGAGGTGACTTGAGTTCAGGCTGAAGTTCCCTGTTGGCCAGGTCCATGTTGCTCCTGGGGTCCATGTCCTCAACAGAGGCCAACAGTGTCTCTGGTGTATGTAGGGAAGAGGCAGGGAGGGTGTGAATGCCCCTACAGGGTCTGATTTTTGAACCAGACATTCTGCCTTTACATATAGCTAAGTGTCTAGAGGCTTACCTAATACAGAAGGGGAGAAAAGAGGTGTTACTTGGTGAAGTCTCACAGGCCCACCTTCACGGGTTAAGGCCACCAAGGGGGACAAAATAGATCTAACAGGTGGCCTGGGCTCCCTACAGTGAGTAAGGAGTGTGGACAGGTCGAGCCTGCTCTTTGGGTCCACACCTTTCAGAATCACAAGCCCCACAGAGCCATCAGGATGACCAAGGTCTGTGTGAGTGAGGACCCGTGTGCTACCCCTACGGCTACCATAGGAAAGTGTGCACCCTTATCGGGAAAAGTTTTTGGCTCCTCATTCCCCAATATATGTAAACTATTTACAAAGCTTTACCATCAATTCGTACATGAAATATTAAGTGTTATGAAGTGTATGCCCACTTTGAAGTGCTAATTCTCAGTCCCTCAGAATGTGATTCTATTTGCAGGTAGGGGTTTTAAAGAGGTAATTAAGTTAAAATGAGTTCATTAGGGTGAGCCTTAATCCAATATGACTGAAGTCCTTCTAAGAAGAGAATAGGACACAGAAGAAAGACTCTGTGAAGACAGCCAGCTGCAAGCCAGCAGAGGCCACCAAAGAAACCAGCCCTGCCAACACCTTGATCTTGGACTTTGGGGCTCTAGAAAGGAAAGGAAAGGAAAGAAGTGTCTGCTGCTTAAGCCACGCAGCCGGTGGTACTCAATTATGGCCTAAATGGGCCTTATGTTTTTTTCTCACACCCCACCTTGCAGACTACTGTCAGGAGGAACCTATGGCCCTGCTGGACTTTATAGGGCACCAGCTAGAGACAATGAGGGGTCTGGTAGCCTCCCCCGTGGGCCTGAGAGTATCTGGAAGAAATCTGAGAAGGCAGAGACCCCAACACTGGACGGACAGTAAGGGTTTGCCGCAGGCCAACCGTTGGACGGAACACCCCTCTCGCCAGTGTTTCCCAAGCTCGCCTCATCATAAGAATCACCTGGGGTACCTCTGAGCCACCCTGGGAGTTATGCGATGGGGCCAGGAACTTGGGTTTTGTTAGGTGAGCCAGGACCAGAAGCGTTTCAGGAACCGTGGTGCCACTCATGCCACCCCAGGAGATGGATTTGTCGGCGCAGTGTGCGTGCGCGGGCATCCCTATCCGGCAGAGGGAGGAAGGGAGGGAGCGAGGCCTGGAACACCGCGCAGTGGGTCTACCAGCCGCACCCCCACTCCACCTCCAGCCCCGCGGAGCCCTCCCCCTCCCGCGGTCCGGGCCTCGAACGAAAGCAACTAGGTCCCGCTGTTTCTGTCACTGCTGTATTTGCCCATCTATGTTTTGCGTCAGGCTTTCGTTCTCTGAACCAACAGGCGGATGGAAGAAATGCCTTCTGGTTCCAAAGCGAGTTACTCTGCGAAGTCCCAGACGCCCTTGTTTTCCTCCAGGGTGTGGCCCGCCCGTGACTCTTCTCTCAGGCTCTGGAGCCTTAAATAAAACCCAGGTTCCCCGCTCCCACCAAAGTCGGACCAGAGGGCGCGGCGCGCTGCGGGAGGGGACGGCCACCCCAGGGTCTGCGCGCCGAGTGCCGTGGGGAACGCCGTGTGCGGGTCGCCGGCCTCCCGCCCTCCCTCGGGTTTGCGCGCCCCAGCTCCCCGCTGACTGCAAGTTCCTCCCAACCTCGAAAGGCGTCTGCCCACCTCCGACCCCCGCCCCCAGGCTCGGCTCACCCAGGCTGGCAGGTGCAGGCCCCGCAGCTCGCGGCTGATGAACTCGCGTTCATTGTCAAGGAATTCGAAGGCGGCGGCCAGACGCCCGAGCTTCCCGCGGCGGTTCCTGCGCCACCACATCCACAGCAGGGCGCCGAGCAGCAACCAGGTTATGCTGAGCCCCAGGTAGCCGGCTAGGTAGACAGGCCCCAGGTAGAACAGCACGCGCACCACGAAGGTATAGAACTCCGGCAGCAGCTGGCTGGACAGGCGCAGCTCGGGGCCCGGCGCGCGCTGGGCTCCCGGGGCGCTGGGGGGCCGGGGGGCGCAGGGCTCCTCCGCTTGCATCTCGTCGCCGCCGTCTTACCCTTCCCGAGAGCTTCACCCGAGCTTAGGTACGCATTCCCCGACGCCCGGGCCCATCTGTCTCCCACGCGCGAGGACCAGGCCGCGCCTCCTTGCCCTGCTGGGACTCTCGGCGCTCCGAGCTCAGCGTTCTCTGCGGCACAGCGTTCTCGGCGCACTCGAGAGCGGCGCCTGGAAAAGCACCGAGCCGCGCTCGGCTCTAGTGAGCCCGCCGCTCCGGAAGTCTCCGCCCCAGGGGGGCGGGCCACGGGGGGCGGGCCCCCAGCCTGGCTCAAGAGCCACCTGCAGGTGAGCTCGACCTCCAACCCCAGCTGGCGGCACAGGCGTCAGGCGGAGGTGCGCTCTAGCCAGTCTGGGTGGACCAAGTGCAGCCCTAGGTGGTTGATGACTCACCGAGGCCTGTGTACAACTGGCTTATCATGGATAAACATCACCTAAAACCTGTTTGCTACACGCAGTCTATAATACACAGTACTACACCGTACAGGCTGGACTCAGCTGGCACTCGAGGCCCTCCCTCGGCAGGCTCAGCCAGGCCTCCCCAGCCTCAGATCCTGCTTCCCGGCCCTCCAACTGGCCCCTAGAGCCTGCAACGCTGCCAGCTCCTCTGGCATCTGTAAAGCTTGGACCTAGCCCCCAGCCTCATCAAGCTGAGCTCAGGACCCCTCCTGAGCGCCACAAAACCCTCTGCCCGGCTCTCCCCACCCTCTCTATGAGGTGTCAGTTTGGATCGTCATTCCCGGCAACATCAGACCCGGAACTTCCGGGGGCCGGCCCGTTCTGGCCATCTCTGGGGCGCCCAACAAGGGCAAGTGACCGGTGAATAAAAGGAGAGATAAAGAGGAAGCCCCGAGGTGCGTGAGAGTCGACGGCAAAGCCCATGGTTTCTAGCCATTGAATGATCAGAGCAGGTGGAGCTCCGAATCGCTTAAGTTCTGATAGTAAATCATCTTGTGGATAGCATATATTTCAGGCGACCACATGAAAGGGCTCACATCAGTTACTGGAATGTGATTTTGGAGTTGACAAATGTACAGGAATGATTTAGAATGACTCTATATCCTTTCAACGGCTTTATGGAAAGGCTGGAGCCGATGGATGGCCATCATAAGACAGCTGTATTCTCTTCTTTTTCTCGCTGTCTTTCTCTCTCTACCCCCACCCTCGCTCTCTCTCGTTCTCATTCTCTTTCCCTCTTGTTCTCTCTCTTTTTCTCTGTCTGGTTTTATCCTTCTCTCTTGGATAAAATTACTTACCGTAATGAATTTTTTCAACAATGGGTATATTCCTGGTGGTCAGAATACCTGGACCCTTCTCTGTTCTTGGCTTTCCAGGACTCAGCCAAAACAGAGGCTGAAAGTCCCCCAACTTAACATCCGGTTACACTGGCAGGTCCCAGTGTAGCCTGGGAAATCAACCTAAGAAATGCTGCTTACTGGAGTTCCTTCTAGAGAGTTGCATGTACACAGTCCTATTAAAGGCTCTGTGAAGTCCTTCAGACAAAAAGCTATTAAATTCTATTTAACCCAGTGTTTCCCAGATTATTTGACCACAGAATTCTTTCCTGAAAATACTTCTCTGTTGGTTGACCCCGGTCTGCTGAAGCAAAAGAGCGTGTACAATAGGGATGCTGGGAATTCTGGAATCTGAGGCCGAATGTGGCTGCTCTCAGGATGGACGGACCAGGAAGCTAATTGGCAGAACTGCGTTCTCATCCTGCGTCCCTCCCTGCTGACCTGCCTGGCTGGCTGAAGTGCAGAACAGACTTTTCTTCCAACATCCAGAGCTGCAGGGCACAGGTCTCAGCAATCCAGAGAGACGGCCTTGACCCTTACCCTGTCCCGATTTCAAATCCCTTGGAGAGGATACAACTGAATCTATCATCCCCTTCGTCCTTCACACACAGCAGGTCCACACCTCAAACCCCACGTGAGTTAGTTTGGGAGACGGTGTGGAAGGTAGTGAGTTTGTGGGGGGATTACTAGAGAAAAGAAGGTTGGTTGTTTGTGAACTGGATGGAAACCCACTGCGACAGTTGCCCAGCCTGAGACCTGCGGGACATTGCCACCCCCAGCTGCATCGCATTTCTGTTCCTTGAACACATCAAGTTCATTTATGCCGCAAGGCTTTTGAACTTGCTGTTCTCTCTACCTGGAATGTTCCTCTTCTAAAACTTCTCCAAAGTACATTAGGGCGGTGGGATTATTACTTCATTTCCCACTTTTTAAATGTATTTTTAAATTTTTATTTATTTATTTTTTGAGACGGAGTCTCCCTCTGTTGCCCAGTCTAGAGCGCAGCGACGCAATCTCAGCTCCCTGTAACCTCCGCCTTCAGGGTTCAAGCAATTCTCCTGCCTCAGCCTCCCAAGTAGCTGGGATTACAGGCACCTGCCATGATGCCCAGATAATTTTTGTATTTTTAGTAGAGACGGGGTTTTGCCATGTTGGCCAGGCTGGTCTTGAACTCCTGACCTCAAAGTGATCCACCTGTCTCAGCCACCCAAAGTGTTGAGATTACGGGTGTGAGCCACCATGCCTGCCCCCTCCTTTTAAAAACCTTATTTATAATGTCAGTAAAATACTCTCATAAATTAAATATATGAGAACACTGAGAATATGGCATTGAAAGCTCTCCACCCCACCTGAGATGGAATCTGTGCCTAGAACATTGGAGCCTTTATTTCCCTTGACCTGGACATCTCGTTACTGCAGCCAGCAAAATAATATTTGATGAGTGGTTTAATCACAGCCAAACCTGGGGAGAATGATGCCTTCCAGAGCCTTTGCCTGAACACATTTGAATGTGCATCCTATTACATACTAGCTGTTTGAAGAACAGTAGCTCAAATAAATATTCATTGGTCACTAGTGTGGATCGAATTGTGTCTATGTTGAAACCCTTGGTACCTGTGAGTGTAATCTTATTTGAAGTAGAGTCTCTGGGCCAGGCACGATGGCTCACACCTGTAATCCCAGCACTTTGGGAGGCCGAGGCAGGCGAATCACCTGAGGTTGGGAGTTCAAGACCAGCCTGACCAACAAGGAGAAACCCCGTTTCTACTAAAAATACAAAAAAACAGCCGGGCGTGGTGGCGGGTACCTGTAATCCCAGCTACTCAGGAGGCTGAAGCAGAAGACTCGCTTGAACCCAGGAGGCAGAGGTTGCAGTGAGCTGAGATCAAGCCATTGCACTCCAGCCTGGGCAACAAGAGCAAAACTCCGTCTCAAAAAAAAAAAAAAAAGAAAGAAAGAAAGAAAGAGCCTCTGCAGATGTAACCAAGTTAAGATGAGATCATATTCAATTAGGTTGGACCCTAAATTCAATGACTGGTGTCCTTATAAGAAAAAGGAGATTTGGAGATGGGAATACAGAGGAGACACAGGAAGGAAAGGCCATGTGAAGACACACGTAGAAACCAGAGTGGTACAGCTACAGGGCAAGGAATGTCAAGCATTGCTGCCACCCACCAGGAGCCAGGAAGAAGCAAGGAAGGATTCTTCCCTAGAACATGGGAGAGAGCTCAGCCCTGCTGGCCTCCAGAACTGTGAGAGTAAATTCCTGTTGTTTTAAGCCATCCTGTTTGTGGTACTTCATTACTGCAGCCCTAGGAAATGAGTACAGCCTTCTGCTGAGTGCCAGGCCCCGTTCCAGGCATAAGAGATTCAGGGTGAACAAAACAAACAGGCTCACTGCTCTCATACAGCTGACGTTCTAGTGCAGGAAGACAGATACCAACATTTAAATAAAGTGCAAGAAAATAGCAAAAGGAAAGGTGCTCTGCAGATAGTGCAGTGGGTAGGCTGAGAGACAGTGACTGGCGTGGGGAGAAGGGCTGCTTTAGCCAGATTGATTCGGAAAATTAGGTTGAAACCTAAATTAAAAAGGTGACCAAAGTGTACATAAAACTTTACTATTATTATTATTATTATTATTATTTTGAGACCGAGTTTCACTCTCATCAGCAAGGCTGGAGTCACAATTTTGGCTCACTGCAACCTCCAGGAGAATCAAGCGATTCTCCTGCCTTGCCTCCCCAGTAGCTGGGATTACAGGTGTGTGTCACCACACAAAGCCAATTTTTTTCTATTTTTAGTAGAGACAGGGTTTCTCCATCTTGGCCAGGCTAGTTTCAAACTCCTGATCTCAGGTGGTCCACCTGCCTTGGCCTCCCAAAGTGCTGGGGTTGCAGGCAGGAACTACAGTGTCCAGCCCAATTTTATTATTTTTTTAAATTTAGTATCTCACAAATCATCTCTTCTTTGGAACAGAAAGATATATGTCTTCTGCTATGTAGGTGTCATTAGTTTTTTGTTTGTGTTTTGTAGAAGTGGAGTCTCACTCTGTTCCCCAGGATGGAGTGCAGTGGTGTGACCTCTGCTCACTGCAACCTCCGCCTCCCAGGTTCAAGCTATTCTCTTGCCTCAGCTTCCCAAGTAGCTGGGATTACAGGCATGCACCACCACACCCAGCTAATTTTTTTGTATTTTTAGTAGAACGGGGCTTCACCATGTTGGTCAGGCTGGTCTCAAACTCCTGACCTCGAATCATCCACCTGCTTCAGCCTCCCAAAGTGGTATGAGCCTCCATGCCCAGGGGTGTCATTAATTTTATTTTATTTTTTATTTCCATACAGAGCTAGAGAAATTTTCTGTGTCTGTTCCCTCTGTTAGACTGGGGATTCTTTGAGAGCAGCAGCTGTATCTGGTATATCTTTCTGTCTCAGTGCGTAGGTTCGAGCCTGACCTACAGGAGGAGGCTAGGGAGCATGGGGTAAAATCAGAATATCTTACATTTGTTTGAGTTTAAATTGAGACTCAAGCACTTACTGACTCTGGAATTAGAGAATGTGTAGTTCCATTTCCTTATCTGTGGAATGCAGATCATAATATTTAAACCATAGGGTGGTCATGAGGACTGAGTCAGATACAATGTGCGTAAGGCTGTATATCCAGATGGGGATGTTGTCAGGGAAGAACTAGGGTTTTGTTTGTCTTGTTTGACTTTTTACAACAAGAATGTATTTGTGTTTTATCTGTATAATTTTTAAAGTTTTTTGTTTTTTGTTTTTTTGTTTTTTGAGTTGGAGTCTTGCTCTGTAGCCCAGGCTGGAGTCCAGTGGTGCAATCTCAGCTCGCTGCAACCTCCACCTC